CTGTTATCTAGTAGAATTTTCAGAAACTCCTAAAGTACTTACTAGAAAATTACATTAACCTTCAATTTGATATGAAATATAATATAAATAGAGGGACAGTACCTCGTTCTTAAATATTTACGATTTTAATTGCATTCCCTTAACTCAAACGTAGAAGGCTGTAATAAAATTAACTTGTTTTATATCATTGTAAACTAATACCATAATACTTGATTAAATATTATGAGCTAACCACTCATTTATTCATATTCTTTTGTCCATTTAAAATATTAAGTTGCCCGTTTGAGCGAACGTTAATTAAACTTTGCTTCAAAATATAATAATGCAAATCCAAAGTAACGTGTATTTCTCTACTATTGTTGTACTTAATCTGAGCCATTTTACTTTCAGATCACTTAATTAGAACTAATGGAACACCCCTTCTTTCTGATCACCCTATCATTATTGGAGAAAAGTACTACTCACTCGCAACTTTTACCAGGAAAACTAGTCGATCATTAAAGCATCTCCTTTCATTTGTAAAGAATAGAATTAGCACGCGGGTATGCTCGATTAAATTAGAACATCCATTAGTTTTAGCCGAGTTCTGGTAGGCTTGAAGCTCGCTACACCCTTTCGATTATTTCTATCGAAAAATTTCTCTAAAAGGTTGTTAGTTAATAAAAACAGCTCTTAGTCCCTTTTCTGCTGACAAGCACAATAGTAGTAAAGGGAATTTTTTTTTTGTTTACACTAAACAAAAAAGAAATATCTAACAAGAATCTTTGACAAATAATGAACACTTCAGGACTTTTATCCCTACTTGATATCGTTTTTTCCCCTTTCTCAAGAGGTACTTATTCATTGTCTTGTAAGAGGCTCGATGCTTTTGAATATTCATAACAAGGTATAAGTACGATGCTTGTTTAATGAGTTCAAGGAGTTAATGCAAACTAAAGAAGAACATGGTCTTAAGCTCTGGAATTTAGAGCTTACCGGGATGTTCTTTTTAGGATAATAAGAAGCGAACATAACAATAGCTGCGTATGATATCAACTTTTTTTTTACTTAATCTTCAAAGCTGACTTTTAGAGCTATAAATGTAAAATAAATATGAATTTTTATTTCATGCACTTATTTTAATTTATAACATAAATTTTTGACACTTGCAACTATTTTGAATATATCTACATAAAGTAGAAAATTTAAAAATCAGTAAATCGCTTATTCCTGTATTCTCAGGAATTAAATTCTGATATAAAACGTGTTATGAAGGGATTAAATATACTATCCATATATACACTGGTTATCATAAATTAAGGAAAATTCACAAAAATCGCGATAACTCAAGAAATTACACATGGAATTTTATGAAACTTACCCACAATATACAACACATAGTAAGGTATTAAACAACATAAAAAGAAATTATCAGACATTAATAGTAGTATAGAAATTAGCACATGTATAAAATAAACAAATTGGAAGTATCGGTTTGCAATAGAAAAAGTACCTTTAATATGGAATATGATTGCCTCTAGAAGCAATACAGCACAAACAGCGATGTGTGATGCTTTCAATTATGCGGTCTATCAGTTCAATAGGAAGTGAGAGCCATTGCTNCAGGGTGAGTAGTCAAATTATTCAACAAAAAATAAGCACCTTTTAAGCACTTTTCAAGCATTCAAAAAATATTATAATTAGGCAGGGCCAGAAAGTTTTTGACAATTGATGGTTTTATCTTGTTTTAATCGTCACGTAAAAATATATATATATATATATATATATATATTTGGACCGAGAAAGTGATTTGATACATTGATATTTAAAATTAAGTAATTTTTGTCGTTTTGAAATTATATATTTGAGGATGATAAAATTGAAAGTGAGAAATTTAATACGGTAAACATTACAAAAATCCATTTCAATTACTTAAAAAAACTGCATAGTCTTGGGGATTTGTGGGAACTTATTTTTGAGTATTTTAATCTTTGAAAATGAATGTACATACTATATGATATAGCAATTAATTATGTAAGCACAGGAAATTATCTACAGCGTGTAAAAAATGAACACTTTTGTAACTTTTGATCTAATAGTCGAGCTTTCACGGGTAGAGGGTCTAAAATGCATTATGCTAATTTAACTGTTCAGGCATTATTTTATATTACAATTCCTTCAGAAAAATGCACTTTCTCAGATGTCTTTTTACGACGAATTCGGATTCTTGAACCTCTAAACATGGAAGGTATCTACAATCTGAAAAATATTGTCTCAATTTGGACTGGGGTGACGTTAAAAGTATAAGACACTTAATGTTAATTTTATCTTTTGCTCATTCCGTCATCTCAAGTCAGTGGTATTTTTTAAATTTATGTTTCTCAAGAACTATTTTATTTATACTCCTCATTAGAAAATGTATCCTAGATTTCGTTCATTATGCAAATAAGTAGTTAAAATGATTGCAAAAATTTGTATATTTACGTTTTAAAAATTTCAAAAATCATTAGTAAATTGAATATTAAAAAGTAAAAAATAATGCATATTTTTTTATAAAAATACGTTTATATTATAAATTTTATTTCAAGAAAAACATTTTTCATTTCTCTTCAGAAGTTCCGGGGTATTCGTATCGATTTCCAGTCTAAACTATTTGGGACCACATTTTGCCGAAGCTGCTAACCTCAATCTTTTGCAAGATCAAAAATCCCAGTCTGTCTACAAAAAAAGCCATGTTTATTAAAAAAATCAAGCATGTCTTCCGTTAGCTAGAATTACCGTCCGTTATATAATTAGCATATTGAAGCTTAAACTTTTGAACCGTTAAGACTGTAACCGTATTTTTGTTCCTCGTCTCGATTTTTTTTTGTCTTGTCTAACTATATTTTGTAAACGCAATTGTAAATTACGAATGGCAACAGAGATTATTTAGTTCGAAAGTAAGCGCCTTGGCCACCGTAAGCACATAAATATCGTAAAAATGAAGAATGGCAACAGCGGTTATGTTTTAGTTTCAGTTTCGATTTTGTAATGTAAACATTATTATTTTGTAGAACGTAGATACGAAATGTACGTGAATGTACGAGTGTACTTATATTATCAATACATATTGTTTTCGTTTTCTAAAAAGACTTTATTAATGTTAATTCAACAACATACGAAGCCAATAATTTATACTATAGTTAATTTATACAAATTAGAATTAAGGTCATAGGAAAAAATATATCAAAACAATGTTGTTTATAACTTTAATAATACGAAAATAGCAAAATAACATGAATGAAAACAACTTTAAACTTAAATGTATTCGTGGTTTTAAAAACTATGTCTGAGAAAATAAGCTTAGAGAAAATTATTAAAATTCGAATTCAAAAGCTCATTGGATTACGTGTTTGTATTTCTCTAGTTTGTTTATCGTGCTAAAAATGCTATTTAAAACGCTTCAACTAAAATCTCCCTTACATTAAATGTTTCGTGCTTGATCGTTGATTTCCTTCTAAAATAATTGATTGTATCCTTTTAAATATAATAATAGAATCTATTAAAAAATCTAATTTGAACTTCAATAGTTTGTTTTGTCTTTTTAGCACAAAATCAGTCATGAAACTGATATATCTAACAAAATTGAGTTTAAGGTCATTTTCTCAATCGTGAAAGAACAAAACTTCACTAACATTTATATCAATATTATTGATATTGCTAGCAAGGGAATTTACTAAATATCTTACTACCATGATCCACGTATAGCTCTTAAACTTAAAAAACGCTTCAACTAAAGTACATGAATTATGTATTCATAATCAGGATATTTAAATATTTTCCACTTCCTTACATAGTCCTAATCCCATATTTGAGGTTTCTTCTCTTCAAAACTTTGAGCATTGATTTTCAGACTTTGATCTAGAACTATGGAAATCATTTCATATTTTGAAATTCTAATAATTTTGTTATTGACCTTCCTAAGGAGTAATTTTTTCTTAACGAGTGAAAGTTTCTCTTCTTTAATCCCCGAATACGTTACCATTTGCCTACGAAACTATTTCTTGTATCAATTATTTCAGTTTAATTCTCTTGTTAACGTTTGTTGCTTCTAATCGATTGGAAAACCACCCCTTTTCCTTGTCGTAAATTCTTTATGTGTTTTTCAACTGTACTCCTAAGCATCCCTTTTCCATTCTAAGATTAAACACTCGCTACGGGACTTCTTTACAATACCAAAACTACAATCTGCGTCCTTGTATGGTACTATTTGTGCTTTTTTCAGGTTTTTTCGTTATGTTTATTCATACCACAAAGCATTCCTTTTTTTCTCATCTAAATGCTCTTAGAGTTTAAAATATTGTAAATTATTAGAATTTTAAACAGTATAGCCCCATAAGCAGAATATTTTCAAATGTTTTGCAACAGAACTTATTAATTTATATAAATGTTCACAGCGAAAAATTTCACAGCGAAAATATACGTTAAAATAGTATTTTCGCGCTTATTAATATACATAATCATACACAGATACACTACATTATTTTTTAAACCAAAGCAAACTTTCTTGGTTTGTTACTTTTTCAATCACTTTTGAAATACAAAATTTTGTTGATGATAATTATGATGAATTATTAATAAAATGCCTATGATATAAAGGTTCGAACATTAAAAAAAGGGCTGGCTCAAAAATCTTTCGAAGGGACAAGTGCCCAGACGGTGCACCATTTGCAAACACAAACATTTTCTGGTCTTTGGGCGGGGGAGGGGATTCGCAGGAAAACGCTGTAACTTATTCAAGCTACAAATTCTTCTGCGGGACATCGTTTGTTCTGCGACGTACGTCACAGTCTTAGGCACTTTTTGCTTCAGGGAGTATAGCTAATTAGAAATATAAATGATATTAACAATAGTAATTAAAAAAAATATATAAACAATTAGAAATGTAAACAATCTGAGCAATTAAAAGTGAAAAACTGTAAACAATTTAAATTTGAAATAACTATAACTGTTTAATAAAATTTTACTTTTATCTGTTTCAGAAAGACTTAGAGTTTCCATTTATCCAGAAAAACTAATTGTTAAAGAAGGTATAAGTGTTACTTTCACATGTAACGTTACGGGTCCACAAATATCATCGCTCATTTGGACGAAAAACTTAAAACCAATTATTACGTCTGCCAGAACGAAGCTTATTAGTTCAGAAGTTCTTCAGATCTATTCAGTTCAGAGGGAAGATAAAGGAATGTATCAATGCTTTGTTAGAGGACATGAAAACTCAGCTCAAGGATCTGCACAACTCAGCCTCGAAGGTACTCAATCACTTTCTTTTCTTGCTTAATGTTATACTTGGTAAAACTTTATTAATATGTATATTTTTTTTATAATACTTTCATAATTTGAAGAAAAAAATGGTTAGGGTAGAGTGGGGTCAGTTGTAACATTTTTTACTTAACTATTTTAAACTAACAAAAATCCAATATATTATTAGTATTAATTGACAAACGAGTAAAGTAGACTATCCTCTACTAGAAAAAAATAAGTACTTTATTTTAAATGTTATTATATTAGTTATTAACAATTTTTGACAGTCGTGCACTTGTTACAATTGTCCCCACTTAAGGGGTCAATTGTAACAGTTCATAAATTCAACTAAAACATAGTTAATTATACATATTATCATAGTTGTGATATATTTTTCTATTGATCAAAATAGTAGTGATATTTTAGGAGTGAAAATAATAATGAGTAGAGACTTAAAGGGTTAAAGTTTTAACTTTATGGGGTCAAAAGTTTTAATTTATGCTGTGAAAGGTGACAAATAAAGTAATGCACATGCAACATAATATAAATGATATAGGAAACTATTGGTGGTTCTTAAAGAGTTGAGTAATGGTTTGTAAAAATAAGATTATTTATTTTCAGTTGTTATAATCGTCCCCTTACTTATTGTTACAATCGTCCCCAAGACACCATTTCAGCTTCATTTGTTAAAAACAATGCTAGTTAATTAACAAAACTTATATTTTTTTTGAAATGTTAATTAAGGTGTCCACTTACATATTCAGTTAATTATTTTTATTTGTTTAAACAAAATTACTTTGTTACAATATAATATTATAATACCAAAAAAAGTACTTACGTAGCGTGAAAATATCTTTCGTGATGTAACTCTTTCAAAAGTACATAAAAATGGTTGCCAGCAGGGGTGTACATGTAGATTTATTAAATACACCTTGCGAGCCACCTAGGAACCAAATCTAGTGCCTGACACTCGAAATTTTTGCTCTGTTACAATCGTACCCTGTTACAATTGACCCCACTCTCCTCTACATATTGAATCTTATGAATTTAATAGTCTTTCCCATTTTTCGTACATACATAAGTATTTTATTTATTATCAATAGGTATTTTTTTAGAAAAAATACATTAATTATTTTCTTACTATACTATTGAAACACAAATCATGTTTCTTATAAATGGTCAAATAATCTTAATTTTTTTACAAACATTTATCTCATAGAAATTTAATATAGAATCTGACTGTTTTCCTTATATTTTATAATCGGCTTTGAACATCCGTCCTAATTCTGAGATTAAAACTACCATTGTTCAACTCTGTAGTTTTGTAATTTTAACCCAACCCAGAAGACAAGGGAACTCCTAGATCAAGCATTAAAACAAACTAGTCTTCGTGAAAGAATTTTTGATGGAAATAACTCTCATATGAATATTACAAGGTGAGGAAAACTTCCAACGGTTGGCCCGTAGGTAAGGAGACCAATGATCCGTCTTCGACCGAAAATATTTTACGTCAGCATTGTGATCAGTGTGAAACAGGAGTAGAATTTTTAACAACCTGCCACGACAAGGATTCAAACTTGGATTGCGTCATTGCGATGTAAACGCTCTATCTCCTTAGCTACAGCTGCTCCAATTAGACTATTTGCCAGCCTGATAGCAAATTGTTGCCCTTAGAGTTAGGAAATTAAACATAATAGTAAATTAAACATAATAGTAAATTAAACGTAACAGTAAATTAAACATAATAGTAAATTAAACATAATAGTAAATATTAACCATTGTCTATGTACCTTGAAGTCCAATCTTTGAATTTTTGAATAGGGCATTTTATAACTATTTTCACCATATTTAAACTTTTACATTTGAAAAATATTATATCCTTAAATATTTTAAGCACTTCACCTTAAAGAAAAGAAAAGAAATGCATAAAGTAAACTATTCATAAACCAGATTGCCATAGACAAAATGTATTTAATATTCAATAAATTTACTTAATTCTCAATAATAATGCTAAAAATTTTAATTCTCGTAAGTATTATATATAATAGAGTAAATCTAATAATATAGAATTTCTCTAGTGAGCCAAAACGTAAGGATTTGAATACGTGATTCAATTTTATGCAATTCACATTTATAATTTTATAAACACAATTCCCTCATTGGTAAGTGCATATATTCAGCAAGTAACTCTTACAATCAACAGAATTATTTCCATACAAGTTATAGAAATTGATATCTAAAATACTGTATTAGAATTACAAACTGACATTCCAGGAAAACTTATGGAGAAATTTTCTTCGCAACACGACATAAATTTAATTCTCAAAACTGCTGCTCAGAATTCAGAATGAAGTAAAATAAATTTTTCGCATGGGTAAAGTCAAGCCAAAGACCAATAAGTCCAATATCTGGCACTTATTCACCTACTGAGAACGAAAGATTCAGTTATGCTTCTCGAGAATGAAATTAATTTAAATGATGGAGGAACAAAAAATGAATAAAAGATTTTTTATTTTATTGAATGACAAGGTGTGAAACTTCAATTTTTAATTTTTCCTACTTTTAAGTTAGAAACTTAATTATATGTACACAGTCAGCTTATCAGCAACACAGACATACCAAATTGAAAAAAAAATTAAAATTTATAGATTTATTAAATAAATTAGTATTATAATTACACTTGATTAAAATATCTCTTAACAACGTCAACCATTTCTTTAAACTATATAAATATTTTTGCTTTAAATTTTTTGACATCAAACAGGGTATAAAAAATATTGGTTTAAATACTTTAAAAAAATAAGTGTTTTCATAAGTTAATCAACCCTCTCAACCTCATTTATTCAACCCACAGTAGGGATTAAAGGCTGAGTTAACCTTGTCAGTAAGAACAATTTATTTACAAAAATACAACTGTTTTGATTTCACAAAAATATTAGGAATATTTTACTTTCAAGAAACTAGTACATTAAACCTTACTTTCCAATAATTTGTTTTAAAAATTTTGTTGGTATTTTTTTTATGAAAACAAGTTACAAGTAACTATATAGTTTTAATTCAAGTGCATATATTTATTACCGATGCTCTATTTAGTATATTAAAACAAGCCTTACAAAACATTATTTTTTTCAATTCTTATTAATACATATAAGTTGAAACGTGGTGACTCAGATAGAGCACTAGCCACCTAATGAGATGGTCCGAGATCGAATCCCAGCGATTGCTGGTCGATACGAATTTAACCCGGTACCCAGCTAGCACCGACCACAGTTGTGACGAAAAATTATTCACAGTGGTAAACGGATCATGTGCAATGTTCTCTTTTTTTAACCATAAAAGTGGGAGTTTTTCGTGGTTTTCCACTCCATGTAACGCAAATGCGAGTTAGTTCCATTTAAAAGTCCTCCTAGAAAGGAAATTTTTCCTAATACTTGATCCTAGAGTTCCCTTGTCTTCTGGATTTGGTTCAAAATTACAAGGATATAAAATTGGACATTGAACTCAAATATCGGCTCAGCTGTTCAACAACATTGTATATATATNAAAATTCCCATTTGCTTACACTTATCGTTTTCAGTGTCTAAACTGTGCTCAATACGTGCATTCAACAAATGTCAGAATCATAAGTTTTTAAAACTTTTCTTTTGTTGAAATTTAAATGAAACATTTTTATTCCATTTTCAATAATGGCGTAGTTTTCATTTGTTGGTTTCTTGATGTGAGCCTATTAAAAACACGTTTAGAATTCAATAAAAACTCGAACTTCAAAATATTGGTAACATATTATGATTTTAAAAATCTTTAGATTCAATGAAAAATACAACTAAGATATACAAATTATGTAAAAAAAAATTATTTTATTATTTAAAACTAATTTTCGATTATTACAGCATTTTACTTATTTTCAATATATGCAGATATTTCTCATTATATAAAAGTAAATAATGAAATATAAAATATACCCCATAAAAATTATGTATAATAAGGCAGACATTTTACTTTCCTCAGATGGTATATAAACAATATTTTTTAAGTATATCTACTAACATTTTCTTGGATAAATAAGTTTTAGATTGCATTATTGTTTTTTTAATGTCAAATAAGATTTTATCACACTATTTTACAAATTAGTAACAAAATCTGAAGCGAATTAGATGTACATACATTCGAAGACACTGCTGAACTATACTGCCTACTTTAAAACTCTCTCCTACCAATGATTCGTGCACTATATTCCAAAGAAATAATATTTCATACGATTTGCCACCAGTTTGCCACATTTGCTGCCAGTGCATAATTTTTTCATGTGATTTAGCATATTTTGACTCTTTTTTGTTAAAGCGGAGGAAATCGCTTTTTAATAAGCCTATGGCCACCCAAAAATTACAATTATCTCTAATCATTAATCATTATCCAAATCATTATGTCTCATAAGTTCAGCTATAAATCCTCTATATCATTGAAATCCAGCTAAAATTATGCTATGCCATGATGTATGATTTGACAGATTAGTGATTGGGCAATTTCAATTACGCGCAGCAAAGTGTAGACATTTTTAAGCAGCAATGTTTATAGTAAACCCATACACACAAAAATAAATTAATATTCCACATATTTTTTTATTTAAATTTTTCACAAGGCTTAATATTCTTAAGTAAGATCCAGCATTATAAATTTCCTAAAAATTTTATTGAGCATAAAATTACGTGCCAGTTTGGCTTTCTTTTTGTAATTAGCTAGAGACATAACAATTCGTTCAATTAGCTTAATTCCAGAGATACATTGACAAACTCATTTTAAAATTCAGATTATTTGTTAAAAATGAGTAATACATTGCTTTCCTTTCAATAATTATAGTCTTAACAAATTCTAATGAGGCTGTTTTTTTCAATTCTAAAAACATTTAAGTATACTGACCATGTCTGACAAAAACATTGTAAAATTATTAAAAAATGGATTTTTTTAAAAAAGTCTGGGATTTCGAGTTTTTATATTTCGAAAAAAACTA